TTACATACATATGTACACATTTTTTTGCTCTGTATTCACCCTCCTGCCCCCTTTCCCTGCCACCTCCACCGTCCCACTGGTGCCAGCCAGCACCCCTGGGCAGGACCTGTTCCGCCCTCCTATTGTCTGATTTTGTAAAAGAAAAAAAAATGACGTTTTTGCTTGTTTGAGATAAAGATAGCTACATGGGATGTTTCCTTGTGATATTTCCGTGTATATATGTATTATAATCCCAACTGGTTCATCTCCTCTATTTTTCTTCATTCTACCTTAGTCCCTTTTTATGGTGGTTTCAGCAGGTTTAAGAATTCTCTATCCACTCTTGTATAGAGAGTATATCGTAGAAGAAGCTGAAGCACAGAGAGGTTAAAGAATTTGCCCAGTGGCCCACAGCATAAGTGGCAGGGTGAGACTTCCAACCAAGCCGACTTCTACAGAGCCCAAGCTCTGCTCCATCACAGGAACTCTAATCAAAGTGCCGAAAAGCGTTTTCCTCTAGGAACTTGGCATAGTGTCTGTCTAAAGAAACAGATGAGAAATCCTTAAGTGTTTTTGTTTAGGGATAATGAACTCATGGGCTGACTCTACCAGATATTCAATCAAAGTTTAATGCTTTGATAATTAAAAGTGTGGTTTGGTACAAGGATCAGCAAACAGATTAATGGAACAAAAACTAAAATTAGAAAGACACGAATGTGAATTTAATATAGTAGAAGAGGTTTTACCAATCATTGGGGAAAAGGGAAAGTTATTCAAGAAATGCTACAGAAATTATTGAAGAGGGTTTTTTGGAAGGGAAAAAGAATGATAGTATCAACTAATACACATACCAAAATAAACCCCAGGTTAAATATAAAAATGCATAAATTATTTTAGATCATTTAAATTATGCAATAATTCTAAAATAATTGTGTCTCCTAAGTGGAAAATAATCCTCTAAGCATCAAAACAATGGGGGAAAATAAATTCATTTGACTATACTATTTGACAAATATTTATTGAGCACATTTTATGCATCAGACACCAGGAAGTACATAAAATGAGATATATTTTTCTAAAATCATGAATGAAACTAAAAAGCAAATAACCAATTGAAAAGATATTTCAAAAGCCTGGAGTGGTGGTGCAGGCCAGTGATCCCAGCCAGGCAGATAGGGGAGGATGGCAATCCAAGGGTCACAAACCCAAGATCCTCTCCAAAAAATAACCCAAAGCAAAGAGAACTAGAGATGTGACTCGAGTGAGGACCTGATTTCAAACCCACGAAGTAAAGAGAAAGAGGGAGGGAGGGAGGGAAGAAGGAAGATGTGTTTATAGTAGGTATAACAAAGTATCAAGATTTTTAATGAATAGTTTCGATAGTAAAATTGCTAAAATTCCAGTGACTAAATAAGGAAGTACAAACTGACAATTTGAGAAAAGAAAAAAGCAAATGCTTCCTAAATGTTTGTTTTAAAAAGTTCAAACTCGATAATCAAAGAGATGCAACTGAAAACAAACGATCGACTGTGACACAACCAAGTTCACAACACAGATAAGGACTAATGAGAGCTCTCAGATACTGCAGTTGGGAATAAATGTCAGAGGAAGCCCTGTAACTCCATGTGAAAAAGATTTTTAAAAACTTCATATTCTTTGGCAACTTAGTTTCACTCCTAGGAATCTATCCTAAGAGTGACCAGAAATGCTGGCAAAGACTTATATATGAAGAGTTCTTCAGACTACTGCTTTCATACAAAAGAAAATTACAGAAAAATACACTCTTTATAAGAAGAATAGACTCTCCAGGTGAATAACAGCACTTTAATATAATAGAATATCAATAACTATATTATTATATTTATAATACCTTTAAGACATAAATTCAAAAATTGTTAACAAAAGTAGTGGAAAAGTGACAAAATCACTGTATAATCCCCTACTCATGTAAAAAGTATATGCAGAGAATTGATGAGGAAGAAGTATGCCAAATACATTTTGTCTAGAATTTTAAATTATGAGGGATTTGTTAAATTCTCCTCGAAAATTTCTAGTATGAACACCAAAAGGTGGAATCAGAAATGAAGGATGTACAATGTGGTAATATTTTAAAAGAAAAAAATTAATAAATGTGCTAATCATTTTTCTAGCTAGAATAAGGAACTTTTCAATTACTAGCTTTAATAGTTTATATTGCTACTGTACCACCATTTTGCCTAATTTCTATAGAAGATAGTATATTAGTACTCCTAAAAATTGTTAACAAAAGTGGTGGAAATAAATTCTCTAATATCAGTGAAGTAACACAAACTCCTGGAAACTTTCAACCGGAAATAATACTGCTAGAGCCATGTTTAAACCTAAGAAGACAACAAAACATTTTGCTCCATTTTAAAGGTGATTTTTAAAGTCCTGAACAGAATCAGACCAGGGATACATTTGAAATGTTTCAATAATGCCTTTTGCCCTGCACAAGGAACTCAGATTTTTCCTCTGGGAACCTCAGTTCATTCTTTGGCAGAGACAGCTAAAATTATTGTGGTCCACTCATCTCAGAGCCCAGAAAACTCACCAGGAAGTGAAAAATGCCATCTTCTGGATGTTTTAAAACACAGAGACCAGAGCACCGATCGCTCACACCTGTAATCCTAGCTGCTTGGGAGGCTGAGGTCAGAGGATCACAATTCTAGCCCAGCCCGGGCAAATGGTTTGCAGGACCCCATCTTCAAAATAACCAGAGCAAAACGGACTGGAGGTGTGGCTCAAGCAGCAGAGCGCCTGCTTTGCAAGCACTAAGCCCTGACTTTAGACCCTAGTCCCAACCAGAAAAAAAAAAATAGAAGTGTGTATTTTTTATAATTTCTTTCTTTTCATCTGGTATTCTGCCTTGGTAGAGACAGCTTTACTTTACCATTTAAAATTAACTTTTTCTTCTTGCAAAAAAATTAAGTCATTGCCACAATTCAACCAAAAAGAAAACTTGCTGATGGAGTGGCTCAAGTGGCAAGCGCCTGCCTAGCAAGCATGAGGCCCTGAGTTCAAAAACAAAAAGAGGGAAAGCAAGAGGGACTCTGTCCACAGAAGCAGTGCAGGGATAATTCCCAGAATGCTTTCCAATGTTACTGGTCAGTTCCTGCCCACCAGTAGAAACCAGCGTCATTTCTAGTTTCCCCCTCCCTGCCTTTTACCCTTGGCCTTGGAGCTCAGCTCAGAGAACTCACAAGTACAACACCATTTCACTTTAAGTCATGTAACTCTTGCTTATACCCTGATTTGAGGTTTTCTGGTACATGCTGCATGCACCAGACACACTGATCACAGACCCGAAGTACAGCTGAAGGGAGTGTTGCCTCCATTCAAATTAGAGGGTGAGGGAGACTTCCATATTTGCTTTTGTGTTTACTAGGAATAAAGCCCTGGGAGCAGTGGCTAAGTACACCCAAGACAACACTGAAATGTCCAGACACGCGGGCTCATTTTCTGGAGAACCTGTCATGGCTGGGAATGGGAGTATATGTGTGTGAGACTGCGTGTGACCACCTGTGTGTGTGTGTGTGTGTGTGTGTGTGTGTATTTCAGGGTCTAGAAATCCAGGTTTAAGAAGGGCTAATAAAAATGTCTCTGAATTCAGAGGCCAGGCAAACATGACCCTTGGGAAACAGCAGATAGATCAATTCTCTAATGAAACTGAGTTGCAGAATGAAAATCCCACACCTGCTATCTTTGGCCATGTGTCTCTCTACCGCGATCCCACAGCCTCTTAATACTCTGACCAACTGTAGTGAAAACTTTTCTACAAAATGTAGAAGATAGCGTGTGAGATCTGAAAGGGCTCTGAAGTGTTCTTACTTAGTCCCCACCTATTTGCAGATGAAGAAAGTAACCTACAAGGGCAAAAATTGCCCAGAACATAAGGTGTAGGTGACAGTGTCAGAAGCAGATCCTAAGTCTCTCAGGGACAGGGGCAAGGTCCTTAAGCCAAGCAGCCCTGGTCCCTTCTCCAGCATTCATAGCACCTTCTGTGGCTGCCATGTTGTACTCATATGGCTTTCATGGCATAAGTGACAGCATGACACAGAGGCCAGAGGCCATCAGGATCCCTGGTTTCTCATCCTGTGGGCAAAAACACATCCCTAGGACTGGGCTTCCTGGTCTCAAAAGTGGGGGCACTTTGCTTGTCCCTGCTCGTCTGCCCAGAAATAGAGACAGAGTGCTAGAAGCCAAGGTAGGAGCCCCACCATGGCTGTCCTTAGAGCACCTATGGTTCAAGGCACCGAGACACATCCTTTAGCTTATTTCTCTTCACTTGCCTCACCTAAAAAAAAAAGGTAGAAATACCACTAACCGCCCTACGCATTTCTGTGAGGTCAAGATGGCCAGGTGTAGGTGAAAGGTAGTTTCTGAGTGGTGAGGAGCAAATGTACAGTCTGGTTTAAGATGGAGCCAGGTGAGTGTTTCCCAGGGCCATTTTTCTTCTTTCTTATTATCTATGAGCAGATATTAATTGTACAAAGGGGTTCCTTTGTGATATTTCCAGACATACATATACTGTACTTTGAGCAAATTCACCCCCTCTCGAGGGACATTTTTTGAGGGGACTTGGGCAATGTGAGAGTTTGAACTCAGGGCCTGGGCTCTACTACTTGAGATACACCCCCAGCCCTGGGGCCGTTTTATTTTAAATAAGGTCAACCAGTGTGGTCTCCCAAGATGCTCTCAGCAGTAGGGGACATGCCAGCTTTCTGCCCAGATGGTGGCGCACGGATTCAGGGGGAGCCCTTATGTCCACTCAGCCCCACAAGTGCCTCTTGGAGCCGCTTCTCTAACAAATGAAAAAATAATGCCCTTGAACCCGGAGTGAAACTGAACTATCTAAGGAAAACACTGAGAGCAAACACTGCGCGTTGAGGGAAAAAATCTGATTAGAAGAGTCCCCGGTCGGCGCCCACTGGGTGCACAGGTTGGACAGCAGCAGGGCAGCACCCTCTCCCTGGCCTTGGCCTCAGCACACACGGGCCATGGCCATGTCCACCACCACGTGCCAAGTGGTGGGTTTCCTCCTGTCCCTCCTGGGTCTGGCAGGCTGCATTGCCGCCACGGGGATGGACATGTGGAGTACCCAGGATCTGTACGACAACCCTGTCACCTCCGTGTTCCAGTACGAAGGGCTCTGGAGGAGCTGCGTGAGGCAGAGCTCAGGGTTCACCGAGTGTCGGCCGTACTTCACCATCCTGGGCCTTCCAGGTAGGCACAGTGACCAGGGGGCAGGACAGAAAAGCAACAAAGGGGTTGTTTGTCCCTGCTGCCTCCTGCCTCAGGTAGAGTCCTGGCAGCTCTGGCTCAGAGTGAGGTGTGAATAAAAGAAGTTGGCTCTGGGTCAAAGACGGCCATAGTCACACAGGAGAAAATGAGAGAATTCATCTGCAGATCAAAGGAACTTCTAATGAGGAGGCAGACCAGGAAAGATAGACTAGGATTAAGAATGTCTGGTGATGGCTAATATAAGCTATGTTTCCCCAGGAGAAAATAAGTGACTGGCCTCCGTGTGTGGGTGACTTGCTTCTGCCCCCACACACATGGGAGTAGAGAAGGAAGATGGTATTTTGTGATAGTGCAAAAGGTTTATTGAGAGCTAATTTAATTTTATGTTCAATTCAATTCAATTTTTCTTTGAAAAGTTGGAGTCTCTGTAAGTGCCAAAAAAATTACCATTAAATTAAAATTTCCTTTTTCTGTATTTGTGTTGAGGAGATCTGGTATACCATCCTAAAAATCAATGTATGTCAGAATATAAAATTATAATTACAATAGTGTTAGAATCTAAATATGTGACATCATTTTACCTTTGAAGATGAAATGAGTTAAACCTTGCTTTGAATACAGATAATTATTTCAAATGTGTATCATGGCAACTTTGCATTCTGAATATTATGGGAGCTCTATTTATATTTTTTTTTAAAAAGCAAACCAGAAAATAATAGGGACAGCTAATTAGTGGGTCCAAGGAATGATAAAGATGTGAGTGTAGTTTTGATTCTTGAAAATAAACACCTTGCAAACAGGTAGCTGGAAATAAATTAGAAAGAAATTGTGAAGAGGCTGTGGAGCCCTTGAAATTGAATCGTGAAAATCAGTTCAACTAATTCAACTTCATTTACACAAAGAAAAAGAAGGTGGTGTCAGAGGACAAGCATTGAGTTATTTATTCCGTTTTTGGAAACCACTCATGGCAGAGACAGCAGAACCAACCTGCCTAGGGAATGAAGGGAAGCAGACCCTGGCCAGAGGAAAGAAAGTCAGGCTGATGAGGTTTCTGCTGTAGTGCGGGGAGAGGTCAGAGGGAGGAACTGTGAGCCAGGATCACTGAATTGGTAGCTACACCCAATTTTAACTATTAGACAAAGAACTATGTTGACCTCATATTCGAAGTTTATTAAGACATGATGTCCTGTCATGTGCAGTACCTTCTTCATGGGGCCACCACACTTGCTCTCTGTATCACAGTTTCCAGACACGGATCTTCCAAATATCCCCACTGTGCACCCTACCTTATCTCGCCTGTTCCACTGAGGGAGTCTAATTCCATGAGCCCCCTTGGAATCTCTTCTCTGCCCCTCAATGCTTCTACTCTGCAGTACAAGATCCTGTCCCCGTCTCCTGACCAAGGCCAACTCCCCACCCAGGCTCAGGAGGCCCCAGGCTATCCTGTCTGGGATTGTCCCCTGTTGGTTAGCCCCTCTCCCCCTTGCTTCCTTCATCTCTCCTGCTTACCTGTGCTTCTGGAAAATCTTCTCTTGATTCTGGTCATTGTGAAGTTCTGTCTCCTTCCTGGTCACTGATAACCAAAATAAAAGACTGCAGTTTCCACCACTTCTCACTCATTGCCTTTCTCAACCCTCATCTCCATAGTGTTTGCTACTTTGACCTTGGCAGAGGATCGGAGAGTCTTACAGTCATGAGTTCCCAGTGTTCAGTTCTCATCTCCCTCTCATTTCAAAACCCAAGCACCTTTCATGATTCTCCATTCCCAGCTTAGTTAGGGGGCAGACATGACAGTCTGACACAGGAGGCTTCTTGAATCCCTCACTTTCCTTACTGGCCTCTCTTCCTAGGCCTCTTCTCCCATCCCATGCTTATTCCTGTCCTTCCTTGTCCTCTAGGTTTGGTCCTGCACATTATGCATAAATTTCAAAGCAAAGGCGATGTGTGTGGCAATGCTTTTACATGGGTATTTGAAATACCAGAAAGAAAATAGTTATTCAGTGGGAAGTGAAGGGGAATAAATCAGAATGGTCTCACCAAAGGATTCTGCTTGAGTCTGAGCCTAAGATTATCAGTGTGGTTATTCATACATTTGTGTCATTCAGCTTCTGTGTTGAAGGCCCCATTAGCTAGATGAGAATTCTTACCCCAGTTCTCAGCATAGGGCCTGGTAGAAAGAGTATTCAACAAATGGCTGACAAAGTAGGTTGAGAATTACTTATTTTAAACATTTATGAAAGCCATGAATACTTTCCCCCAAGAAATAACAGTAAATAAATAGCCTTTGTGATATAGTTTTTGGCTATCATGGCTTCACGTATAGAAAAGTACCAGATCCTCCTCCTGCCTGAAACAGATTCATTATTCATCCAGTCATGCATCCAACAAACATCTTTCAAATCCCTACTGTGTTACAAGAACTGGAGTTTCAGGGGCGCTATTAGTCAGCATAGTTCATGTCAGTCACAGCAACAACAAAGCTAAACATCTCAGAGGCTTAACACAACCAAAGGTTACTTCCTGCTCACCAGAAGTCCACTGTGGGAAGAGCAGCTTCCTTGTAGCTCCATGATTCAAAGAAGCTGAGGCAAGAGTGGCTAACCACTCTTAACCACCTCAGCCTGCAAGTGACATGTGTCACATGCACTGACAGCACATTGACCAGAAGAACTTGCTGTGAGGCCCTGGGACCTGGAAGATGTTGGTGCTTATGGCTATTTGGTGAGTACCGACCATCTCTTCCATAGGGACCCTTTGAATAGTAACTTCCTGGGCTGCAACCAATCCACCATGCTGATTTGAATTCTATGGGGCTACAATTCCTTGAACGCCAAAAGGTAAAAAGCAATGAGAGTACAACAGATAACATGCCAAAGACTTACATTCATGTTTCAAGCAAATATTATTGGATTCCTCTGTGAGAAAAATAATGTCTGGCACAGATAATATTCAGTGTGTGGTTGCAGAAGCCAGACATTTTCATGGGAGTGGCCTGGAATCAGGTAGGGTTTGATGTGAGTTTCTACATCATAAAAATTCTCTGGCATTTAATATGAGATGAATGTAAATATGATCATGGGCAAAAGCTCAATTTTTCCAAAATGTAAAGAGAAAGGGGGGAGGGAGAAGGGAGGAAGGAAGGAAAGAAGGAAGGAACAAAGGAAGGAAGGGAGGGAAAGGAAAGGAGTAAGGAAAGAAAGAAGGAAGGAAGGGAGGGAGGAAGGAGGGAAAGAATGAAGTAACAAAGGAAGGAAGGGAAAGAAGGAAGAAAGGAAAGGAAAGGAGGAAGGAAAGAAAGAAAGAAGGAAGGAAGGAAGGAAAAGAAGGAAGAAAAGAAAGAAGGAAGGGAGGGAGGAAGGAAGGGATGAAAGAAGGAAGGAAGGAAGGAGAGAAAGACCTAGTTACTTTTTCCTGTCAGGCCAGAGTTCATAGAGAAGAAATCCATTTGCCACCCAAAGAACCCTGAGGTGTCTCAAACCTACAACAGGAGAGGACCTGGGCTCTCTTGGAAGAGTTTCAGGGCACAATGAGCCAGGAAGAAGGACTTCCTCAAGTCACATCTTGAAGACTGCAGACATGAGTGTGGTCCTACAGCAATGTGTTCAGCTTCATGGGAGCAGTTAAACTTTCTACCAGTGGGTTTGTGGCTGGAGAACTCTCAGGTGCCTGTCTTTCATCTCCCACAACACCCAATGTAGCCCACAACAGGTGACAGGATTGGGGCAGGGGGAGGTGGGTGCTGCTTTGCGTGCTATCTCTCACTGGCTAGGCTGAGCCAGTGTGGATGGGGTAAAGGAAGACAGTTCCCAGCCGCCACTGAAAGTCAGAGAAATCATTTCTTGGGACTGAGTTTGAAGAAAAGGAAGTGTTTAAATCACTGTGGCTTTGGAGAGCCATGTGGATTTAGGAACAGGCAGGCTTCAGGCAACAGGACTGGCTACACTATAAACTGGAATTATTGATGTGCACACTTGTTTAATGACTTAGATTTGATTGACTGAAGAGATGAGCAGGCAGATTGCCAGGATGAAAAGACTTAAAAGAAACTCAAAAGCTGAAGGCAACAATGTAAGGAGATGGGGTGAACCAGAGAGGAAGCTGGACGGGCCTTGTGGACACTTGGGGCTCCTGAGAGAGCTGGAAGAGTAATGTTAACCAACCAGGACCCAATACCTAGAGAAGCTATGACATCAGAAACAGCTGCATACAGTGTTTCTTGAGCATGACAAGGAGCCTGGGGAAGGGGACGGAAGCAGAGGAGTTGGATGCAATGCCTGGAGACAGAAGTGGAAGACTCTAGAGAGGTGGTGTGATTTCATTTTGTTCGTTTTGACCTGGAATGCAAGGAAGCAGTAGATTAGTAAGCCTTGTGTTTATAGAAAGGCATGAGGCAGGCACCTGTCACATTTTTAGTTCATAATCGTAATAATCACTCCAACTTACTAAATTCTTCCGAAATGCGAGCTCTTTTCTTAAAAAATCTCACTTAACTTTTCATTCATCTGACAAAAATTTACTGTGCCTAATTGGAACTTACAGGAGAATGCAATTTGACCCAACAAGCAGTGTTGCATAGCTTGCAGATAGATTAAGGAGGAAAGTGGCAGTGGTAGTGAGACTGCTTAGCTGTGTACGATAACTCTGTATACTTGATAGCTTAAGATCTTCTGTCATTGTGTGCACAGTCAGTGCGACATGCAGTCCTCAGAGGACAGTGCCCAGAAGTAAAGAGAGCTGCCATTTGTCAGACTGTACATAACCTCTCCAGTTTAATCTCTACAACAATACAGGAAAAGTGTAATGGCTTATTTTTACAAGATAGAAACAGAGAATCAGAGAGGAAGGAAAGGTCACATGCCCAAGGTCCCTTGGACAGAAGATGGCCATGTGAACATGAAGCTGAAAGACTTCCTTCCAAGACTGTGCCCCTTTTGGCTGTCCAGGCCTGGGTTCTGCTTCCAGCTGGTAATAGACTGCCTTTA